AATAAATAAATAAATAAATAAAATCATAGGTAGTTGATTTTTGCACGATTGAATACAAATTGGCCAATACACCCTGCAATTTATAGCTCAATTTATAGCTCAATTTTTTGTGGGAAAGGCTCAGTATCAGCACACCCCCGTAAAACAGGTGTGGACCTTATTAGTCTAATTTTTAGAGACCTTCGGGTAGTGTGGGCGGCATGTAAGTTAAATAAATAAATAAATAAATAATTTCATATTTATTTATATAGTTAGTTAGTTACTTAGTTAAACAGCTAGGAAGAGTGTTTATCCAAGTGGCAAAAAAGTAGCAGGTGCCAAAAGACAGACTGTATAAAATATCAGGTCAAAACAAAAGAAAAATAAAACATAATGAAGACAAAAATGTTGTGGCACCTTAAAGACTAACTGCTATTTTTAATGTAAATGCAAGCTTTCATTGACAAGTCCACTTCCTCCAAGAAATTAGGAGTTAGTCTTTAAGATACCACAACATCTTTGTTTTCTTTATTTATTTTTTATGTTTTTATGTTTTGTTTTGGCCTGATACGCTAACACAGAGTGCCACGGCTAACTCTTCCAAAACTACAACTGTATAAAACAGAATTTATGTCCTTTGGTTTCCTTCTGGGCCTGGACTGGGGCTGTGTGGCTCGCCCAAGGCTACACAGGTTGGTCTTCTCTTGGGATGCAGCAGGGAACTGACACACGCCCCCCCCCAAAGATATGTAACTCACTGAGCTTTCCTGCCAGCACAAATTGTAAGCTTTCTTATTTTCCTAGACAAGAAGTCTGAATGTGATTTCCAACCAAGGGTAAAGTGTGTTCCACTGTTGCCAGCCCTCACTACCAACAATGATCAGGACTGAGGCTGAGAATGAGTGGTTTGCTACTGCTACCTAGATGTCACTAATTTAGAAATGTAGGCGATATCTTTATTGGATCAGTGAGAAAAAAAATCAACTAGATTACTGGATGGTAATCCATTTTCATCATGCTAACTATCAAAGTTTCATGGCATGGTGGTTGTTCATGCCACAGAAATATTCTTGAGCCGTATGCAAACTGCTGGTGGGGGGTGGGGTTGGAAACTCCTCCCCAAACAGCAGCTTGGAATTTTCTCTCTCTCATCACTTCTAACAGAGAATCGCCAAGCAAGCTGCATTCCACATACACCCCAATATTATTGTATTCTCACATTACTCACTGTCCATAATCCTGTAATGGTTTCTCTTCTCCAGCAGACACAAAGGATATCTATGAAAGCACCCTCCTCTACGAAAAGGAAAAAGCAGCACAGTTATCAGGAGAGGAGGAGGAAGAGGTGGTGGCTGATATATTGCAGAAGCTCTGTGTGAAACCTAGGGTAGATCTTGAGGTAACCTGTCACTTTCATTTATGTATTGCTAAAGATTTTCACTCACTGTTTGGTGCCCCCTGTGTTGGGCACGGAAACCTGTAGTCCTTCATGTTCCCATGTTCCCTCATCATTGGCCAGACAGTGTGGAATTGATGGGCATTAGAATGCAAAAAACCTGAGGGCCACATGCCTCCCAGCCCTGCTCTGTGTGAACTCCCATGCTCTTGATAATTTGAAGTGATGCCATTCAGACATAGGTTTCCTTTGACAATGAGAACTATGCCTTCACTCTCGAAAGACTATGGTAACGTGCTCTGAATAGTGGAACAGTGTCTGGTGTGACTGAGAAGTCTGATTCGAGAGTGACAATCCCTTCCCCTGTCCAGCTCCCTGGTTTTGCTGCTTTTGTGACTTCCTCTCTGCCTCAGCCTGCTGGACAAGGATCTCTTCACATTGGGAGAGGCCGTGATGCAACGCCTGCCTCCAGGCTGAGCGCTCAGATGTCAAGGTTTCCCATCTGTTGAGGTCTATTCCTAAGGCCTTCAGATCCCGCTTGCAGATATCCTTGTATCGCAGCTGTGGTCTCCCTCTGGGGCGATTTCCCTGCACTCATTCTCCATACAGGAGCTCTTTTGGAATTCAGCCGTCAGCCATTCTCACGACATGCCCGAGCCAACATAGACATCACTGTTTCAGTAATACCCATAGTGTGCATTGAGAATAAGGAAGCAATGTGTCCTCATTTGTGTCCTTCTTGAAAGAGAGCAGGGCTCTGTTTGCGGTGCTGTGGGAAGACCGTCTTTCCATTCAAATGGGTCCTCTAATTGGGTTGCTGTCCAATCCAAGTGCTGTTGACAGGTAAAAGAACAGTAAGAAAGAAAAGCTGGTCTTGGCGAGTGTGCTGTCAGGGCCATTGGGAATTAATCTTCAAGTGCTCAGGCATGAATTGGAAAGCCTGGCCCATCCAAGTCGAGTTTAAAGCTAAAGTACCACAGGAGGAAAGAGCAGGCCCTTAAACCTGGCCATTACTATTTAGCATGTGGACACTGAATTGAACAGGCACTCCTGATACATCTGGATTCCACAAGAATGATTCCCAGCGGTTAAAGTAGAATTAATTAGACTGCTATAATCCACATCTACACAGTTATAGAAGTTCAATTACACTTTCACTGCCATGAATCAAATTCTGGGTTCTGCAATTTGTTGAGGCACTCAGAATTCTGTGTTGTTCTTCAGCCGCTAAAGCTGATGTTCCAGTGCAACAAAGCCAAGTAGCTAATTTGCATTTTAAATGAATTAGCACATTTATGCAACTGTGAGCAACCAGTTTTACATATTATGAAAATCAAATGCATTAATTGTTGCATTTGTATACTAATACATTTTCATCTTTGGCACCACTTATATTTATAAGCACTGATTTGAGATAAACTGTGTGGTACAATAGTTACCATATAGAACAAATGAAATTCAACAAAAGACTCAAATTGAAATAAACCCCTGTTAAGTATTATTCAATATCTTTCAGCCAAACCTCGCTTACAGGATTGTTGCGAGAATAAATTAGGGCAGAGAAACCTAGTTGCCAGGTATGCTACTAGTGCGTACAGTAGTGCCTCGCTTAGCGACTTTAATCCATTCTGGACAAAATGTTGCTAAGTGATTTCATCGCTAAGAGAAATTAAAAAGCCCATAGAAACACATTAAAACACGATTAATGCGTTCCTATGGGCTTAAAAACTCACCTTAAGCGAAAATCCTCCATGGGGCGGCCATTTTCGGTGCCTCTTAAGCGAGGAAACACAGCGGGTGGCCATTTTGTTTACCCAGCGACCATTTTGAAACCGCCGATCAGCTGTGCAAAAATGGGCACTTTGCGATGATCACTTCCTCGCGATCATCGCAAAGTGAAAAAATCCCATAGGGACCATCGCAAAGGATCACAAAAGCAATCGCAAAAACCCCATTGTTAAGCGATTTCATCGCTCAACAGAGCGGTCGCTAAGCGAGGCACCACTGTATATATAAAAAAGTGATTTATTGGTTTCCGGTAATATTCTTCTCAGATAATCAACATTATTTACCATAATTGATAGACAAAACAATTACATTACCAAATTAACAAACAACACAGTATGAGAACATCATAGGAACTATTTATTTATATTTATTTATTTATTGGACTTATATACCGCCCCATAGCGCTACAAGCACTCTCCGGGCGGTTTACAATTTTAATTATACAGGCTACACATTGCCCCCCCAGCAAGCTGGGTACTCATTTTACCGACCTCGGAAGGATGGAAGGCTGAGTCAACCTTGAGCCGGCTACCTGGGATTTGAACCCCAGGTCGTGAGCACAGTTTTAGCTGCA